ATGATTGTGGGAATATTCTTGTGACCATAGGAATATTCTTATAATCGAAGGAATATTCTTGTGACCTTGGTAATATTTTTGTGAACATGGGAATATTCTTGTGACCGTGGGAATATTCTTGTGACCGTGGGAATATTCTTGTGACTGTGGGAATATTCTTGTGACCGTGGGAATATTCTTGTGACTGTGGGAATGTTCTTGTGAATGTGGGAATATTCTTGTGAATGTGGGAATATTCTTGTGAACGTGGGAATGTTCTTATGACCGAGGGAAAATTCTTATGAACATGAGAAATTTCTAATGACCGTGGGAATATTCTTGTGACCATGGGAATGTTCTTATGATCGTGGGAATGTTCTTATGATAGTGGGAATATTCTTATGATAGTGGGAATATTCTTATGATCGTGGGAATGTTCTTATGATCGTGGGAATGTTCTTATGATCGTGGGAATGTTCTTATGATCGTGGGAATATTCTTATGATCGTGGGAATATTCTTATGATTGTGGGAATATTCTTATGATCGTGGGAATATTCTTATGATCGTGGGAATATTCTTATGATCGTGGGAATATCCTTATGATCTGTGGGAATGTTCTTGTGACCATGAGAGTATTCCTTGGACTGTGGGAATATTCTTGTGACTGTGATAATATTCCTGTGGACTTGGAAATATTCTTATGTCCGTGGAAATAGTGGTTCCTCGCTTTTCGTAGTTCTCGCAGTCGTAAATTTCGGAAATCATACGGATATTTTCGTATAAACATGGGCTCGCTTTTCATAGGTTGACTCGCGAGTCGTAGTTCGTCCGGGCCGCGTACCCACGGCGTGAGCCGTGGCGACAGCCAGTCTGGCTTTGTTTACCGGTGAGCGAAGGTCCCCTCACATGCTCCAGCAAAATACACCTACCATCCGACTTACTACCGAGTTCGGTTCCGAGAAACCGGTCGTAAGTCGAAATGGTCGTAAGTCGAAATGGTCGTAAGTCGAAATGGTCGTAAGTCGAAATGGTCGTAAGTCGAACTTTACTACTGAATATCAACAAAACATTTTTGTAATGACTTTATTTTATTGTTTTATTTTGGTATTTCATGTTTTACTTTACTTTTTATGTTGTTAGTACTGTATTTTATACTGTAAGGTTTAGGATAAACACTGTGTACAACACAAATAATTGTTTATTTCTTAGAAATTTGGCATAAAAAACACGGTCGAAAGTCAAGTGGTCGTAAGTCGAGCAGGTCGTAAGTCGGATGGTAGGTGTATTTCATAATATTCCATTTATTTTAGTGCGTGCAAGTACTAAATAAGCTACCATGGCTCCAAAGAAAGCTCCTAGTGCCAAGCCTGTGGTAAAGAAGGTGAAAAATACGATTGAATTTAAGAAAACCATCAATGAACAATATGAAAGTGGTACAACTGTGGCCGAACTGGCCAGGATGTATAAGAAATCCTACACAACATTATGTTCCATAGTGGCCAAGAAAAATGAAATCAAGGATGCTGTTGTTGCAAAGGGAGTAACTATGCTGACAAAAATGAGATCACCAGTACTGGAAGAGGTTGAGAAGTTATTATTGGTGTGGATAAATGAGAAACAATTAGCAGGAGATACTCTTATGACTTGGATTATTTGTGAAAAGGCTAGGCAGTTGCATGAAGATTTGGTAAAGAAATTGCCTGCAAATAATGGTGATGTGAGTGAATTTAAGGCCAGCAAAGGCTGGTTTGAGAGATTTAAGAACTGTACTGGCATACACAGTGTGGTAAGGCATGTTGAGGCTGCCAGTTAAGACCACAAGGCGGCTGAAAAATATGTGCATGAATTCCAGGAGTACATAGAGGCAGAAGGACTGAAACCTGAATAAGTGTTCAATTGTGACGAAACAGGCCTCTTTTGGAAGAAAATGCCAAAGAGGACCTTCATTACACAGGAAAAGGCAATGCCAGGACACAAGCCTATGAAAGACAGGTTGACGCTAATGTTCTGTGCTAATGCTAGTGGGGATTTCAAAGTGAAGCCATTACTAGTGTATCATTCTGAAAATCCCAGTGTTTTCAGGAAAAACAATGTTATGAAGAGTAAATTGTGTGTGTTTTGGAAATCTAATAGTAAGGCATGGGTCACGAGGGAAATTTTCGTCGAGTGGTTCAATGAAGTGTTTGACCTTAGTGTGAAGGAGTATCTCCTGGAAAAGAAATTGGATCTCAAGTGCCTCCTAGTAATGGACAATGCACCTGCTCATCCTCCAAACTTGGATGACCTAATTTTCGAGGAGTTTGGGTTCATCACAGTAAAGTTCTTGCCCCCGAATACCACCCCTCTCCTCCAACCCATGGACCAGCAGGTCATTGCAAACTTTAAAAAACTCTACACAAAAGCAATGTTTCACAGGTGCTTGACTGTGACCACAGACAGTCACTTGACCCTAAGGGGATTTTGGAGAGAACACTTCAGCATCCTCCATTGCATAACCCTTACAGGTATGGCTTGGGAGGGAGTGACTACCAGGACTTTGAACTCTGCCTGGAGAAAATTGTGGCCGGATTGTATCGACAAGAGGGATTTTGAAGGGTTTGGGGCTGACCCTGATGAACCTATGTCTGTTGTAAAATCAATTGTGGCACTGGGGAGTTCCATGGGGTTGGATGTGAGTTTGGAGGATGTGGAAGAATTGGTGGAAGACCACAACGAAGAGCTCACCACTGAGGAGCTGCAACAGCTTCAGCAGGAAGAGCAACAGATCGCAGCTCAGAATCTTGCTGCAGAGGAGGAGGAAGAGAGATGGAAGAAGGTGCCTTCTTCAGAAATTAAAGAGATTTTTACTATGTGGGGTAAGATGGAAAGTTTTACGGAGAAACATCACCCTAACAAGGTTGTTGCAAGCCAGGTTGGCAACATGTATAGTGACAAAGTCTTGGGCCATTTTAGGGAAGTGTTAAAGTGACGCCAGAAACAGAGCTCTCTGGACAGTTATTTTGCGAGACAGGTCTCCAGTGACTCTCAAGGTGGTCCTAGTGGCATTAAGAAACAGAAAAGAGAAGCAACCCCAGAAAAGCAAATGGTACCTGAGGTGTTGATGGAAGGGGATTCCCCTTCCGAACTATAAACAATCCAATCTCTCTCCTCCTCCAGTCTCCCATACACTAAGAAGAATCTCCAATAAAGGTAAGTGTTATGCTGTTAATGTTTCATTCATCATTTCCCATTGTATTGTTTATGTACTATATGTATATTTCATGTAAAAAAATTTTTTTTTAATACTTCTGGGTGTCAGGAACGGATTAATTGTATTTACATTATTTCTTATGGGGAAAATTGATTCGCAAATCGTAAATTTCGTCTATAGTAGCTCCTCCAGGAACGGATTAATTACGAAAAACGAGGGACCACTGTATTCTTGTGACCGTGGGAATGTTCTTGTGACCATGGGAATGTTCTTGTGACCGTGGGAATGTTCTTGTGACCGTGGGAATGTTCTGGTGACTGTGGGAATGTTCTGGTGATGGTGGGAATGTTCTGGTGATGGTGGGAATATTCTTATGACCGTGGTAATATTATGATTGTGGGAATAGTTTTATGACCATGGGAATATTCTTGTGATGGTGGGAATATTCTGGTGACTGGGAATATTCTTATCATGTGTTAATATTCATATGACCCTGGGTTTATTATGATTGTGGGAATAGTTTTATGACCGTGGGAATATTCTGGTGTTAAAGGTAAGCAACAGTCAGGTTTACACATGTTTTGCAGGAAGCCTGGAATGAAATAGCAAAATACAAAGGAAGTAGCGAAGAGACTGTAATGAAGAGTGGCCAGCGTGTTTCTGTACTGGAGGAAGAGAGAGAGAGACGGTATGCTTTCTCTCAGCAAGCAGAGGAGTAAGTTACAAGATATTTATTTTATATTTCTTGCACTTAGTAAGTATTTACTCCTCCATTAAACAAAGGTGTTCATCAGGGCAACATTTTGGATTGTCTGTTCCTACTCTATATTTTGTCATGCATAAACTGAATCAACTCTCTGCTATTGACACTGCCTTATTTTTTGTGCTTGCCACTGCCCATTAAGATGGGTAACCTTAAGAAGGAAGCACACATACCATCACTCATTCAAGAGCTGTCTTCCCAGAAGTTCACTGACATTATATTTGTTTTTTTTTTTCTCTTGCCAGTTGTTTGCATAGATTTTCTGTTTACGAATTTGTCATTTGGATTTTATTCTCTGGTTGAAGTAATACTACACTTCAATTCTAATACAGTGGAACCTCAACTTATGAGTGTCCCAGCATACGAGTTTTTAAAGATTCAAGCCATCGCTCGGTTGATTGTTTGCTCTGAGTTACGAACCAGTTTGCCCTGCTTCCTCCTCAACCCACAACTTGCACACCTCTCTTGTTTATCTATGATATCATGCATTACTTCCATGGAAATCATCCTCTTTTTCTTCTCAGCACTGTCCTTTACAGTTAATTTCTTGGGACCCATGGTTAGAAAAAAGAAATTTGGCAAAACAACTGCACAAATGCAAGGATATATGAAAGAAATGCTCCCACAGCTAGGTAAACAGTGCACTGCTCCAACTAGTAATGGTGGTGTTCTGAAGCTCCTCATTATTATTATTATTATTATTAATAGTTAAGGAACTGGAGCACAGATCCAATTCCCTAGATCGAGTCCCTCACCAGCATCAAGGAACCCTGACGCTGGTGAGGGGCTCTTGATCTAGGGAATTAGAGCTGTGCTCCAGTTCTCTAAACTGATAATTGATAATAATAATTATTATTATAAAAATAATACTTAATTAAGAATTACTTGAGAATGCAGAAAATAAGTGCAAAGGACATTGTTGATTGTCATATTTGATGAATTGTGATAGATAAATAAGTTGAGTTAATATTAGCATCATATTCAAGTATTTTTTCTTTCCTCCAGAGAGCAGGAATTCTACTGGAACGGATTAATGGCATTTCAGTTAATTTAAATGAGGAAAATTGATTTGATATTCGAGCAAATTGAGTTACAAACTAGGTCACGGAATGGATTAACTTGTAAGTCAAGGTTCCACTGTGTACTTCTGTACTATATTTAAGTGATTACTTTACAGCCTCTCCTCACTTAACGACGGAATTTCATTCCTAAGACCACGTCGGTAAACGAATTTGTCACTAAGCAAGGAGCATGCTATGACGGTAGTGGGTTTGTGTCAACCATCTGATATTGCTTTAATGTTACCTTTGCACCATTTACAACATTTGTAGTATATTTTAAAATGTTTATACAGTAGTGTACTGTATACTGTAATAAACAGAATAGAGGACACTAGCTCTAATATACATGTATGTACATTATATTTAGGTATGCATACTGGTCAGAGAGCCCGTCGTAAGTCTGAGTCGTCGGTAAACGAGTACGTCGCTAAATGCAATACAATACAATTTGTATTTCTTTGCAAGTTTACATTGAGATTCTGTAGTTACAATAATGAGTTGCTGCACAGAGAGAGTCACTATCGTGCCACGGCATTATGGGCAGACTAAATTAATGGCTTACAGACTACTTAATACCAGAGAAATTGGTCATAGTTTAAGTTGTACATCTGTTTTTATTGAAAGCAGACAGTAAGTTAACTCAGGTTACAATCTGGGTATATTACATTGGGACAATTTGAAAGTATTTTGAAGGTTGTGTACATCAGTGGTAAAATTTAAGTTATATTATTAGAATATAATATTAGGAGTTGGTGAAAGTTTACAGTGTGAGAGTGCTACAATATGGTATAAGGCAGTATAGTTTTGTGCAGGTATTTATACTATAATGTAATATTAAGTTAGGTATGAACTTTGGGTATTTAAATTTAGGTAATTGGGAGATCTTTAGACAAATTTAAGTATTGAGTATTGAATATTTAGTTTAGGGTGAGTAGATGGTTTTTGAGAAGTGTTAATTTGATGTTCAGACCTGAGAGGCTGTAGTATGCGAGCTCACAACGAAACTTATTGAATACATCTACTATATTATACAACTAGGGTGCCAATGATATTTGAGGAGTGTGATAGGCAGTAATAATTATATTTTCACAGGACAGAACAAAAAATGAGTCGCTTACAACAACAGTTAGAGGAAGCTCATTGCATGCAGGAGACCACTGAGCAGAAACTCCAGCAGGTAAGTTTTTCAAAAATACAATAGGGCCCCACTTACATGGCAGGTTAGGTTTCAGGCTACTGCCAGAAAGTGGACATTGCCCGAAAACAGAATGACATTATTTCCATTTAAAAATGCATGTAAATTCTAGATAACAAGTATACACTAACATATATTAAGTTAGGAATAGAACTAGACATTAACCCTTTCAGGATCCAGAGGCCAAATCTCAGTGTGAGCCAGGGTCCAAGAATTTAAAAAAAAAAATAAAAAATCTTACAGAATTAGATATATTTCTATAGGTAATAAAACAAACAAAAACTTCCGATCTGTACTTACGGAGTTATAGAGGCGTGAAGTTGACCCTCATTGGTGGCAGCAACATCATGGTTTCCATAAAGTAGCATTTTTTTATTTTACATGTTTTACTTTTTTTTCCTTGAATTTTTTTTTTTCCAGTAACTTTTGTGGCCTGTGAGACTAATGTAATGTATATATGTGCACTCATTTCTTCTTATAACACTTCTGCTTTGTAAAAACCTCTCATAAGCTACCTTTTTCTCTTTTATCACACCCTTTACTTCATCATTCCACCAGTCGCTCCTCTTTCCTCCTGCACCCACCCTCCTAAAACCACAAACTTCTGCCCCACGTTCTAATACTGCATTTTTAAAACTTACAACCCTCTTCAAACCCCCCACCCCACTACTCATACTTGCACCAGCCCACCTTTCTGCCAATAGTTGCTTATATCTCGCCCAAACTTCCTCCTCCCTTAGTTTATACACTTTCACCTCCCTCTTATTTGTTGACATTTTCCTCTTTTCCCATCTACCTCTTACTTTAACCCTTTGACTGTTTGAGGCCCCTCTCTAAAACTGTCATTCTATGTCGCCAAATATTCGAAAAAAAAAAATTGTTTTTTCTTATGAAAATGTTAGGAATGTTTTTAGTAGTGTTTTAAGCCTAAAAAATTTTTTTTGCCATCAGTACTTACCGAGATATAGAGCCGCAAAGTTTGCAGAAAGTGACGTGCGTACGGCAACAGCGGCGACTGCCGCGCACCCGGTATTCTTTTATTTACTCTAATTCCAAGGTTTCTTGCATTTTTCAATATTTTTCTGTTCCAGATAACTTATGTGGCCTGTGAGACCAATGTAAGGTGCATTGTTCAAATATACACTCATTGTTTACAACACAATAACAGAACAAACTTTATCACTATTAGTTTGTGTATACACTTTTACACAAACAAACAATACAAAACAATATTTATTACTATTGTTCCATAATATACAGTGGACCCCCGCATAACGATGGCATCACATAGCGATTATTTCGCATACCGCTTACTTTAATCGCAAAATTTTTGCCGCGCATACCGATTAAAAACCCGCTCACCGATTTTCGTCCGAGACGCGTCCAATGTGCGCCCTCAGCCACCCTCACATGTGCCGCCCGTGCCATTGTTTACCAGCCAGCCTCCGCGGTAACATCCAAGCATACACTCGGAATATTTCGTATTATTACAGTGTTTTCGGTGCTGTTTCTGGAAAATAAGTGACCATGGGCCCCAAGAAAGCTTCTAGTGCCAACCGTACACCAATAAGGGTAAGAATTCCCATTGAAATGAAGAAAGAGATCATTGATAAGTATGAAAGTGGAGTGCGTATCGCCGACCTAGTCAAGTTGTACAAGAAACCCCAATCAACCATCGCTACTATTGTGGGCACCAAAAAGACAATCAAGGAAGCTGTTCTTGCCAAAGGTTTAACTGTGTTTTCGAAACAAAGATCGCAAGTGATGGAAGATGTTGAGAGACTCTTATTGGTGTGGATAAATGAAAAACAGCTAGCAGGAGATAGCGTCTCTTAAGCGATCATATGTGAAAAGGCTAGGAAGTTGCATGAGGATTTAATTAAAAAAATGCCTGCAACTAGTGATGATGTGAGTGAATTTAAGGCCAGCAAAGGTTGGTTTGAGAGATTTAAGAAGCGTAGTGGCATCCATAGTGTGATAAGGCATGGTGAGGCTGCCAGTTCGGACCACAAAGCGGCTGAAAAATATGTGCAGGAATTCAAGGAGTACATAGAAACTGAAGGACTGAAACCTGAACAAGTGTTTAATTGTGATGAAACAGGCCTGTTCTGAAAGAAAATGCCAAGCAGGACATACATTACTCAGGAGGAAAAGGCACTCCCAGGACATAAGCCTATGAAAGACAGGCTTACTCTTCTCATGTGTGCCAATGCTACTGGTGATTGCAAAGTGAAGCCTTTATTAGTGTATCACTCTGAAACTCCCAGAGCGTTCAGGCAAAAGAATGTCCTCAAGGATAATTTGTGTGTGCTGTGGAGGGCAAACAGTAAGGCATGGGTCACTAGGGAATTTTTCTATAACTGGTTACACCATGCATTTGCCCCCAATGTGAAAGATTACCTAACTGAAAAGAAATTAGAACTTAAGTGCCTCCTGGTGTTAGACAATGCCCCTGGTCATCCTACAGACGTGGCAGAGCGACTTTATGGGGACATGAGCTTCATTAAGGTGAAGTTTTTGCCTCCTAATACCACTCCTCTCCTGCAGCCCATGGACCAGCAGGTTATTTCCAACTTCAAGAAACTGTACACAAAAGCTCTGTTTGAAAGGTGCTTTGTAATGACCTCAGAAACTCAACTGACTCTAAGAGAGTTTTGGAGAGATCACTTTAATATCCTCAATTGTGTAAACCTTATAGGTAAGGCTTGGGAGGAAGTGACTAAGAGGACCTTGAACTCTGCTTGGAAGAAACTGTGGCCAGAATGTGTAGACAAAAGGGATTTTGAAGGGTTTGAGGCTAACCCTGAGAATCCTATGCCAGTTGAGGAATCTATTGTGGCATTGGGGAAGTCCTTGGGGTTGGAGGTTAGTGGGGAGGATGTGGAAGAGTTGGTGGTGGAGGACAGTGAAGAACTAACCACTGATGAGCTGCTAGGTCATCTTGAACAGCAAGAGGGCAGACCTGAGGAAACTGCTTTGGAGGAGGGGAGAGAGAAATTGAAGATGTTGCCTACTTCTAAGATAAAGGAAATGTGTGTAAAGTGGCTTGAAGTGCAAACCTTTTTTGATGAAAATCACCCTGACACAGCTACTGCAAGCTGTGTTGGCAACCTGTACACTGACAAAGTTGTGAACCACTTTAGGAAAGTCATAAAGGAACGAGAGGTACAGGTATCTATGGACAGATATGTTGTGCGACAGAAGTCCAGTGACTCTGAAGCTGGTCCTAGTGGCATTTAAAGAACAAGGGAAGTAACCCCAGAAAAAGACTTGCTGCCTCAAGTGCTAATGGAAGGGGATTCCCCTTCTAAACACTAACAAGATCAACGGTCTCCTCTCCTCCCATTCCATCAATCATCACCAGATCTTCAATAAAGGTAAGTGTCATGTAACTGTGCATGTAATCTTCAGTTTGTGTGTATTAAAATTAATATTTCATGCGGTAAATTTTTTTTTTTTTCAATACTTTTGGGTGTCTTGCACGGATTAATTTGATTTCCATTATTTCTTATGGGGAAAATTAACTTGACTAACGATGATTTTGACTAACGATGAGCTCTCAGGAACTGATTAATATCGCTGGTTGAGGGTCCACTGTACTCACTTATACAAAATATTGCTGGAACTTAAAAATACTTTGTATATATTCCTAGACAATAGTAAATGACCAAGGCAGGTGTAAATGCCCACCTGTCAGTGTGTTTGTGGCAGTTTGAGTACAATTTCAGTACCTAATATTAATGTCAGAACAAAGATTAGTTATGAAATGACAAGAACTACAATAAATTGTAATTATCAGAGCATAAAAATTATATAAAATAATTTAAAAATGAGAAAAAAATGTATATCGGCAACATTTCTGCAAGTGGCACAACTCGATGTTGCTGTCAGGTGATCAAGTGCCTACTTTGGGGCCTCATATCTCGGTAAATACTGACCCTAAAAAATTTTTTATCCTATAATACTTACAAAAATGTGCTCTTTATATCTTAAAAAAAAAAAAAAAAATTTCCAAAATATTAGGGGCACTAGCAGTGAGAACGTAAACAGTGGTCCCTCGTTGTTCGCAATTAATCCATTCCTGGAGCCGTTACTATAAACGAAATTTACGATGTACGAGTCAATTTTCCCCATAAGAAATAATGTAAATAGAATTAATCCGTTCCTGACACCCAGAATTATTAAAACAAAAAAATTTTTAACATGAAGTAAACATGTAGTACATAAACAATACAATGGGAAATGATGAATGAAACATTAACAGCATAACACTTACCTTTATTGGAGATTCTTCTTAGTGTATGGGAGACTGGAGGAGGAGAGAGAGTGGATTGTTTATAGTTTGGAAGAGGAATCCCCTTCCATCAACACCTCAGGTACCATTTGCTTTTCTGGGGTTGCTTCTCTTCTCTGTTTCTTAATGCCACTAGGACCACCTTGAGAGTCACTGGAGTCCTGTCTCACATAATAACTGGAGAGAGCTCTGTTTCTGGCATCTCTTTAACACTTCCCTAAAATGGCCCAAGACTTTGTCACTGTACATGTTGCCAACCTGGCTTGCAACAACCTTGTTAGGGTGATGTTTCTCCATAAAGCTTTCCATCTTACCCCACATAGTAAAAATCTCTTTAATTTCTGAAGAAGGCACCTTCTTCCATCTCTCTTCCTCCTCCTCTGCAGCAAGATTCTGAGCTGCGATGTGTTGCTCTTCCTGCTGAAGCTCTTGCAGCTCCTCAGTGGTGAGCTCTTCATTGTGGTCTTCCACCAGTTCTTCCACATCCTCCAAACTCACATCCAACCCCATGGAACTCCCCAGTGCCACAATTGATTTTACAACAGACATAGGCTCATTAGGGTCGGTCCCAAATCCTTCAAAATCCCTCTTGTCGACTCAATCTTGCCACAATTTTCTCCAGGCAGAGTTCAAAGTCCTGGTAGTCACTCCCTCCCAAGCCATACCTATAAGGGTTATACAATGGAGG